AGATATTTTTCAAATGGGAGGGAAGAAGGATCCATAGCTTTAAGTGTATTAAGAACGTGATAATAAGCTTCTAAATAAACTCCGGTTGGTTCAATCATAAATCGTTGTTCTAAGGATTGTTCGGTTACTTTATGAGGATTTGAAATCTCATCAAACGCATTAGGATAAATTGATAGATCAACAAAGTCAATACCAATGTTAGAATATTTGGGGCTGCTGGCCAAATCAATTTCATTTCTTAATGCAACCACTCCGAAATAAACCGAATACCTATCAGAACTACTTTTGGCATTTGGATTCGGTAATAATAAAGTAATCAAATTTCCTGTTAATAACCTTTTACTTTTTTTCCAAAATTCTTGCCTATCCCGTACATTAAGATTTTTTTGACTTTTTGGGGGAGTAAATCTTAAAGTGTAAACTAATCCTTTTCTCTTATCAAAAGTAATATCAATAAATTGTGGACTAGGGTACACTTGTAAACCACCAAATTCCTTTTGGATCCTCCTTAATTCTTTTGAAAATTCTTTATTGTTAAGAGAAGGTCTCAAACTTCGTGATAATGTGGTTATTAAATTCGACAAGCTTCCACGAATGGGATTCAACATGTCTTCCCTTAACAAACGAAATTGGGTATCAAGCAATTTAGCTGCCCCATCAGGCAGAAAATGTGGTGCATCAGGAAGCGAAAATGGTAAAAAAGGAGGACGATCACACAATATCTCCTCAATTGTAGGAATGATTGAAATTTCTGAAATATCCTCAAAATCGTTATCATGCCTTTTGCCAAACTTTGATAATTCACCAGGAGGATCATAAATTCTTTCCATATCAGCTTTCCTAGCCATTTCATTATAACGTAATGATGTTAATTTCGAGATTAATTCCTTTTTATTCGGATTTTGATCATCGATTAACCTAACGCGTCCATTATTTAACAATCTGTTCATGATTTTCATTTCTTTATCTAATACCATGAAAAAATAATTTTTAGTTTCAAGATTATTGATTAATGGGTCAGTTGAGTTGATAGACGGTAGTTGTTGTTGAATAGATTGTAGGTATGTTGTCTTTAGATCTTGCAGATCGCGAGCAATCTTGTGCATGGTTTCATTGATTGATGCTTCTTTGATGCGACATAATAAAACAGATAGAAGCCGTACGATGATCAAGAAGAATATTCCCAAACTAGCAAGATATGAAACATCGATTAGTGTAAATCTAGGTTTCATTCGTGGGTGTGTACTTACGAAGTAGGGATAAATGAATATCGCTCGCGTCTCAATAATTCTTCCACGCCAACTCGATTGTCAACGACAGAATTACGTTGCACCAAAGTTCTCAACATTGTCATTACATTATCATAAAGGAAAGAGTCCTACAATTTAAGAAAAATAATCATTAATAACGAGGAAAGGATTGAAGATCAGAATTAAAAATGATACTTACAAGATTGGTGTAAACGACCGTAAAGATGGCATTAACGCACTCTTCCAAAATACATTCGGTAATTGAGGTTCTCGTCAATAATCCCAAAAAAGGTAAGACAACATGTTGAAAGGATAGCACATCTTGCTCGAGTCCCGCATCACATGACATTGAAGGAAAATTTATGATTTCTCTCAACAATTTAAGGCCTCCATTGTGATCACCTAATTCCGATACCAATTCATCTGCCCCATAACCAGATTGATAACTTGTTACTACCAATGCCGAACTAATGAAAATTCTAATATTACTTTGATTCAATGGTTCATTATCTTTTTTTAAAATTTTTTTCCATATGAACTTAATCCGATCTCCATTGGGTATGGTGATTATTCGGTCACTACCCTTATATGTTAATTCTGAGGAGCGAAAAATTTCAATAGTCGCCACTTCTTGTGTCTTTTTTATTTCCGGAATATTAGGTGGTGGTGTTCTTTGAGATTGATGACCAACTCCATCACCTTTTCTATTGTTAGTTCCACGACGGCGATCATTTCCACGCCTTTTACGACCGCGTCGATCAGAATTATGTTTATCCATAATAACAAGCGCTTTTTAGTTCAGGTATAAGTTTTTAAAATTATTTTTTTTTCCAATGAAATGATATTTAAATACGATCGTAAAAGAACGATGATTATTTAATTTCCATTTTTGTCAACAATAACGTACCTTAGCGTGAGAATTAGTTATTAGTTATGTTCATCTCAATGGTAATGTAAATTTTGGGGGCAAAAATTGAACTACAAGGTCTAACCAAAAATGACAAAGACAATTTTCTAATCGAAAATATCTTGACAATCGATTCGTTGTAACCAGTTTTGATTTAGATGGTAATTCACATGAACGTAAGTTTTATTTATCCAATTCGTATCGGCGCAATTTTTTGACCAAAATAATTACTTAACCAGGTAAAAAATGTACTAAAAGAAAGAATTTATTTTAAATAAAGATCATTTTACTATGAACAATAATTCTAATGGAAGTGATCGCCATCTTAACCGTAATTAAAATCAAAGCGTTTCGTCCTCGACTTGAACTAAAGTGACTGCAGCGCGAATTTCCGTCCCTACGGATTTACAAATTAAAACACATTGAAAAAAGTATTAAAAGGAAAGAAAATCTTTGAATCAATAGGTTATTAGAATTTTCATAATCTCAGCATTAGTAGTATTATGAGGTGGGAAAATTTATAAAAAAAATGTTCATGCCAACTTTATGGTTGTCTATCCAACATTGTCCCTTAGTATGAATTCAAGTTTAGAAAAAATTATCAATTAAAAAATTATTATTAGAAAGACTAGTCAATAGTAATTAATCAGCAGCTATAATTAAGAAATTTAACTTTTTAATTCAGAGAAGATGAGAAAAGAAGAAATTTCCGATTTTATTAGGCATACTATTATCCAAATCAAATTGATGTTGACAATTCTACTAAATATTCGAATGAACGTGGAATCATTTGTTGTAATCGAGATACTGAAGCACTTGCTGAAATGGAAGAAAGTTATCGTGATAGGATAGGATGCTTCGGAAAAATCGTTATATCAACAAGTAGCTTTGATAATTTCCAAGGTGAAGAGTCGTCATTTCTTAGTTCGTAATTTCTCTGGGTCTTGATAATGTCACATGCTCTAGAAAGGATGTATCTTATTGGTAATTCTGAATCGATGGAAACAAGATATGTTAGGCTTCTATTACGAACAGTAATTTGTTTTGGTTTTGGTATGCCTGAGAAATTTGAACAAGTTAGTTCGTATGGTGGATGCTTTAAGGTAAGGATAACTAACTACTGCTTAAGAAATGCAAGTTGTCTTCATGTGTTAAATTTTGATTCAGGAAACACTTCCATGCGGACATAAATGTCCTCATGTTGAACATTCGATGGACACGCACGTATGGATTATTATTTTAATGTCCTTTAATGATTTAATAATAATACGTTTTATTAATTCATTTTACTCATTTTCTTATTAGTGATCACAAGAACTAGCACATGTTATGTCATCAATTAATCAAATGATTACATTTACGTGAGTTTGATCAAATATTATTAAGCGCACTTTTTACCAATAAATCATTTGTATTTATTCTTTTTTCTCTCGTCAAAAAAAATAAAAAATTTCAAACATGAACATCTTAAACTTCAAAGGAAAAAGAAATTTTCGGAAGAGTGTAAGAAAGTGTAATCAATTAATAAACACTTGTTTTGATTTCATGCTCTCGTTTTCGCAAGTACTTTTGTTTTATAAGTTAGCACATTCTCAATACCAAAAAAAAGAAATTACTGTCAAAAGTACAATAATTCTGTGGGAATATAAAAATGTCTATTTCGTGGACCGGTCGAAACGAACGAAAAATTAATCGAATTAATTTGTGAGGGTGAATATGTGTTGTTACACGGTCCACGTGCTTCCGGGAAATCCACAAGCGCTTTACGAGCCAAGGATCAACTGGAAACTAAATCTTATAAATTTCATAATATACCCATTATGGAAACATTAGATGACATAAGGGATGTATTTTCGACAAATGCAGAGATTTGGAGCTAATTTAATGAACGTCGAAAGAACATACATATTTCTTTTCTTTGACGAATTAGACTACTTTACTTTCATTAAGACTCAGCAAGATCTGCAACTCGTTCTTATCTAATCTTCGTGTTATTTAAAACCGAACCTTCAAATGTAATAAAATCCGTTATTGGAATTGGCACTTTCAGCATCTTAGTTTTGAACTTGTCAGATCGGTCTCTGTCACCATTCAATATTAACGATGCATTTGAAAACCCGAATTTCATCAATGAACAAGTATAACTTATTTTTATGAATGATCGTGACTTAAAAATCGATGATCGGATCGTAGATGATATCTACAAATCGACGAGCAGTGTTGGCAAATTTCAAGGTCATTTCCCTTTTTTAAAGTGACCTAGGTCACTTTTATATATGATCACGTGATAGATTTCATAGTATAATCATCACATGATTAGGTCATTATAAGGTCACTTCAAGGTCATTTGCCAACACGGGTATGTTATCTGTGCAACTGTTTTTCAGTGATCACATGTCATGTATAGTGGTCTAGGATAAGATCCTAGACTCCCATGCATGCACTTTTTTTTTCAAACACTAATTTTATGATTCATATTGGTAATTATGCGAATTCTTTTTTTAATAGACATACTGGTCTCGTGAATCTGTGTGGACGTGCAGTTGAAGCAATCGATAGAGAATATTCATCATGGATACTTAACAAAATCAATAAATTGGGAAAGGAACTTTCTAATTATGCAACGTTTTTGAGAATGATCATATCTTTAAAGTCAGACGATGCTCGAGACGCCATGAATCTACTTCATACTAGATTTCTTGTTTCCCTTAATCCTGTGATAAACATGGACTCTAATGAACTTGCATTAGCCAGGTTTCTGATATCTGAAGGTGTCTTGATATATGAACGAGACTTTCTAAATTCAGATATGTTTAGAATCTCTTTTTCGTTAATTGATTTACTTATCCGGCGATTTATCATTCCCGAACTATACCCATCATCTTCACTAAATGTGGCTCTCCTGCAAAATGACGGTGATCTGAACACTTTATGTATTTTAGAGGAGGCAATCTGCTACTTCGATAAAGACATAATCCAATTGGGTTCATCTCGATCGTTTAAAATTGCTCTGAACACGTTAATGGCAAGACTTGAAATCGAACAATGGCACCTAAAGATAGACAGTAATGACAAAATATGGTCAACTAATACTTCTCGAATTATTAGCAACTCTAACAAAAGTACAACTCGATGAACATTATGATCGCGCACTTGGTTATGCAAAATTCTTTCTGCGACTGAGACATGGGTCATCAATTTTACGTGTGAGGATGATGCTGAATTGTACCCCTATTGGTCATCAGATAATGTGTTGTAGAGTGCTGTTCAAATTGTATATTTCAAACATAATCCTAGCAATTTCACAAAAGTTCACATGGTCACGTGCTATTAGATACGATTGGAAAAAACGCGTCACTAGTATTAAATTGATTGAGATGCGTTTCATACTTAAATTGCAAATAATTCTCTACCTAACTTTCATTTGTGCTAATAACTTTTGCTTGATTTTCAGATTCATTATCTGACAAAAATCGTAGAAATGAGATAAAGTTATTATTTGCGTTTATAGATTTCTAATTTTTAATTCGTAATATTCAACGTTTATAATTTTATGAAAATTAAATAATATTATAAGCATTAAAAAAAAATCGCATGATTGCTTATTTTATAATAAAAAACTGTCAATGAAATAAAACAAATATGTATTAGTTATTCTATGGGGATCAATGGATATCATTGATTTTCACGGCGCAGCCGTGAAAATATCAATGATATCCATGTGATCGCTATGGAATAACTTTTTTATCTCCTGGGGACTAACGCCTGTGATGAAAAATTTTAGTTTATTAATAGTTTATTTTATTTAGCTATGAAAAGTTTATTTCATTATAAAACATTTATTTTGCTATAAAATTCCCATACTTTCTTTCTCTCTTTTTTTACTCCTCTTTTGAAAACAAAAAATTAAAATGCCTCAAAAACGCGCCAATAAAGAACAGAGACTTCACAAATCTTTTAACCCTGTCTTCACTAATGCAAGTACTTTCTATCATTCTCAAAAGATACCAGAGATTACAACTTCTATTCAAGATACTTTGAATCCTTCTTCCTCTTCACAAATATCTGAAATTCAAGAAAAGCTTAATTTTTATCGTCAAAAAGCTATGGTACTTAATACTGAAAAATCAACTCAAAATTGGGTTGCTAAATTTGAAGAATTTCACAAAAGTTGCAATTATACTACATCATTTGAGGAGATTACAGATTCCAAATTGATTAAACAACAAGTTTGTGAATATATTGCACAAATGACTAAAAAAACGTCTGGTGAATATAAAGCAAATTCAGTAAAACAAGCTGTTGATGTTATTAATCATCATTTGGTAAAAGTTTCTCCAATATGTAGAATTAATTTACATGATAAATATGAGTTTTCAAATTTATTTAGTTTTACATGGCAAAACGAAAGATTTGCAAGAAAAAGGATTTGATGAAAAAGAGGGATCAATGGCGTTGACTGCACAGCAAGTTCAAGAAATTCTTGCTGATAACTTTCTTAATCCTAACACCCCTGAAGATCTTTTATATCATGTATTTTTTCAAATTGCAACTAACTTTGTATTTCGTGGTGGTGAACATTATAATCTTCATGTAGATCAATTTCAATTTCTATCTAATAGTAGTTTGCTTTTTTGCCATTATTGTAGCAAAAATAATCAGCATGGAATTGAAGGAGAAGCTACACAAAATATTCATCTTCCTCCAAATTCAGAATCAGCTAATGATATTAAAAAATATTTGTCTAATGTCCTAGTAATACTTCTAAAAATTTCTATTTACATATTAATCCATTTTAGCATGAAACTGATATTTGGTATAAATACATTATGAAAGTAATAAAGTAGGGAATTTCATGAAAGATATTGAAAAGTCTGTTAAAGTAGAACTTCTATTTGATCTTTTAACAACCATTTTAATTATAAAACTATTGTTCAAATTCTTCAGGATGCTAATATTCCAGAAGATACTATAATAGAAGTAACAGATTACAAAGTATTCAAGGTATTCATGTATATAAAAAAGTGAATAAAAAATAACATCTTGCTGCTATAGATACTTTAATTAATGCTATAGAACCATCAAGATCAATTCTTACTGATTCAACAAGTAAAAATGCAAATGTTGATGTTCAACCAAAAATTCCTTCTTCAATTTTTACTACAACATCAGAATTTTCTTCTGCTAATAATATTTAAAAGAAACTTCCTATTTTTAATAATTATCATATTAATAATGTAACTTTTAAATTGTAAAATATATTTGTATTACAAATAATAATATACTATATAATTTAATGTTAATGATCTACATTAAAATAAACTTTGATATTTTCACTGGTATTAAAATATCAATATAAAAAATCACAGATGACCATTAGTAACTATGAGATAAATATAATTATATTTTAAGTGATGCATTTCTTTTGATAAAATACTGTATAATTAAATTTGTTAGATATGAAATAATTGTTAAATAATGGTATATATAAGAAGTTTCCCATAATATAAAGATTAGTAAATAGCTTTTTTCTATTTTTAATGTCTTGTATATTGATAGAAAATAATCTCATATTCATACTCAACTCGAGAGATTGCAATTTAAAAAGATGTTAATCAATCATCAGTTATACGAATCTGTAAAAAATTTAATAAAACTGACAGTTTAATGATATACCTAAATCTGATTGTCCAAAAATTGAGTAAATGATATAAGCAAAAAATTTTATGTTACATTTGCTCAAAAAAGTATTTTACAGTAGTTAAAATACAATCTAAACTCTTAGCTGATGAAGGAATAATTATTTCAGCTAAAACTATACATAAAATATTTAAAAGAAATAATTTAATTATATGAATTAAAAAATCTTATTTATCAAAAATATAGAAAAATCTAGTTAAAATGTGCTTAATCTAATGAAAGCAAATTTCTTATATTTAGTTTTGATAAATGACAATATTATTAGAAGAAACTAAAAAAGTCTTAGAAAAAACAATATATTATTAGTTAGAAAATCTAACAATTTTACTATATTATTTAACATGCAAATCTTTAATATAAAATTTTTCTAGTATAAGTTAGCATAAATATAAATTCACATTCACTTATATTTATTTTTATATAAGCTGATTATTTTTTTAAGTTACAATTTTGACTATAAACTTTCATATAATTTTCTTTTGTATTCAAATTTTTTTAATTCAATAATCAATTCATTTTATATTAATTTTTATTATTTATAAGATTACATTTTATATTATAAATTTTACTTTAAATCATTCATATAAGTCAAATTTAAAGTTTGAATTAAAATTCAAAAAATTCAGATAATTCAAATTATAAATAATTTGAATTGTAAATCAATTCACAAAAAATTTAAATAATACGAATATTATTACAGTTATACCTCTATATAATTATCTCTTATATACAGTTTAGCAGAAAAAACTGACAATTTTTTTTTTAGATTTCGAAGCTGATCACATTGTTTTTCCTATACAAAAATAGAAAATATGATGTAAACAATTTGTTTATGTCATATTTTAATAAATTACTGCAGCTTGAAGGTCATGCGTATCACACAATAGTTGTATTTAAGAAACACTGTAACTGCATTAAGACTTTATGGAAGAGTGAAGTTCGTAAAATTGAAGACCTTCATAAAGCAATTGGTTTTCCATTGAAACCTCTATACAGGTGAACTAAATAATTCAAAGAAACAAATGACTTAAAGCAAAGAAGTCATCTAGGTTATCTAAAGTATCTTACTCTATTCAACATCATTATCTCAGTCAAATTGCAAAATCGCATAAATATTCATCAAGTACTGAGTTAACTGAAAATATTAAAAAAAAAAATACCTCAATCTTGATATTGCATCCCGATTGGTTAAAGAAAACCTTTAAACTCTCAGCTATAAAGTTTGTGTTCCTTGTTCAGTTTCTTTTCTTATCTCAGAGACTATGAATCATCACATCACTTAGGTAAAGGCACACCAAAAAGAATATTGGAAGTATGTTATATTTTTTGATGAATCATCATTTCAAATATTTCGTAATATAACCCTGGTTCATTATAAAAATAGAGAATCAAAGTCAAGGCATGTAGTAGTAAAATATCCTTTTAAAGTGTATGTGTGAGGAGCATTTTGTACAAAAGGAATCATCAGCTTTCACATATTCACTGAAAACATGAATAGAGAGCTTTACCAGAATATTATAACTGAAAATTTATTTGAGCAAACATCTTAGATCCTTGGTAATAGGTAAATATACCAACAGGATAATGATCTAAAGTATTAAGCTAAGCTTACGATTGCTCTTCTTCATGAACGTTGTTCACGTGTTTTTGACTGGCCTTCTTCCTCTTCAGATCTAAATCTGATCGAAAACTTATGGGCAATAATGAAAAGAAATGTAGAAAAGAAGGTTAATATTATGATCTGTGAAAAAAATTCAGTTACGCAAAAGGTTTTTATGAAGACAGTAAAGGAGAAATGTGAGGCAATCAATGAAAATTTGTGTATTAATCTTGTAAGATCAATGCTGAGACGTTTAGAATCAGTGATAGAAAATCAAGGATGTATAATAGGCTTTTAAAATTTTTAATATGTTTTTAATATATATTTAAGGAATTTAATTTTAAAATTTTGAAATTTTTTAATAAAACCTGAGCAAAATAATTGCTAATTTCTAATTGTCAGTTTTTTTTACCAGAACTATAACCTTTATATAGTCAACAAAATTTTTATACAAATTTTTAATTAAATAAAATAACCTTTATATAGTTATATCATGTGATTATGCTATAGATATTTATATTAATAATTGATCATTAAAATTTATTAAAAAACTGTTTTATTTGTATAGTATTAATAATGATAAATTTACAAATTTTACCAAAAGTATTCTTTACTTTATTAAATTATAATAAATTTATCAACTTTTTCATCTTTTATTTTTTCAGCTTAATATCTGTTGAAAGATTATCTAATATTAATAAATAAATAATAAATGTATTCAAAAATATTATTTTATTTTTTTAAGATATCTGTTATTTCAAATATAAAAAAACATACACTACTATAAGTGAAAATATAAAATAACAAATATATATATATATGCTACTAAATCTGAG